GCTACTTCACGGTCAGGGCGGCTAGGATCTGGAACCAACTTCCAAGGGAAGTGGTGCTGGCTCCTACCCTGGGGGTCTTTAAGACAAGACTGGACAATCACCTCGCTGGGGTTGTTTGACCCCAGTACTCTTTCCTGCCATGGCAGGGGGTCAGACTTGATGATCTGCTCAGGTCCCTTCCAACCCTACTAACTATGAAACTGTGAAATTATGAAACTATGAAAACTGTCCCTATGTAGAGGACCAGCACAAGCCTAGGCACCACTGAAATCCCACTGGAGCTTTTAAAATAAAAGTTCAGTGGGGCACCCTGCCAACTCCAAAAGTTCAAAAATGATGAGTTAAACTCAAAAGAATCATAAGATTAAAAAAAAAAAAAGAAGTAAATCATGGTTTTGTTCTGCCTTCTGATTTTTGAGCCCTCCTGCCAATGCAGTGTTCATGACAATGAGCAGTTATGAGCTAGCTCATTTATCACACACGCACACATCGCTCCTAGCTTGTTTTGCTTCTCCATGTCACATGCTTGCCAGCATCTTGTCTCAAAAAGCCTGTGGAACTTTAATTTCTGTAAAATGAAACCAACGTGTTTAAGACACTGCCCGGCCTGCAGAGCACCTCTCCAAAATGCCATTTAGTTAATGCTGCCCTACCTCGGCACCACGTCTCTGCAACTTGCCCCAGTCAACTCTCTGTGTCCCACTCACATTTCCCTCTGCCCCACACATCTCTTGTGCCCACATATCTGCCCCTTGTTGCTCTGCAAATTACTTCTCTCACGCCCATGGACACTCTTCACATCCATACTTTTTCAGGGGAGGAAGCTGAGGGGGCAGCTCCAGCTCTGTGTAGGTTGTGATCCCGATATCACTGCAGTATCTTACCACCTTCCAAGTGTACGCTGAGTGATGTGACTAGCGTCTAGCACAGGTGCTCTGTTCTCTTTCTCCTCCTCTCCCCGCGTGGAGAATAGTGTGTGTAGTGCAGGATTTGGTTTGGGGGATTCTCTGTGTTTGAGAACCCAGGATGAAAAATTGTACCTCACACCTTGGAACAAAAGATGGGGAAGTTTGTGATACTCCTTAACTCCTTTGTGAGTCTACACTATCAAACCAGTTGTCAAGAAAGCTGTTTTCAACACAGATGAGGTTTCCCCATCAGACAGACTGAAGAGTAGAGCTGTTGGCCACAACCCTTATTCTAGAGCTTAAGGTGATCTTCTAGCAATCCTGAGCCCTGGTAATGATGCATATGAGACCTAAGACCATGAATCTGATTCTTTTCTATAGAGCATGAGTATATAGGTTATGTTTGATAGCAGAGGATAGGTTTGATGTGCTCACAGTAGGCCTTGTTGCTTAGGATCACGCTGAAACATTCAGTACTAGTTGAACAAAAGGGCTGATGATTTTATACCAGCACATTGCTATTGTGCAGACAGGAAGCGATAGCCTCAGACCAGGGCTTTGCCCACTAAGACGAGATGAGGTCACCTAGCCAACCAGAGACACAAGTACTACCTTAGATGCTGCTAGGTGAGAGCTTAAAATCAGTGAGCAATCCAGAACCACTCCTAAACTATTGCCTGACATGGTGGGTATGTGCCTTCAACCAAAAAATACACCCTGTGGCTGTAGACTCTTCAAAATACTTTCCTCCACCTGCCAGAATCTCCTCTGTTTTGTTTGGTTTCAGAGTCTACCAGCTGTTCTGCATCTCTACTTTAATCTTCTCCAAACACCTTGGTGGTAGTGTTATGGTCACATTTAGTAAAGGAAAGGTAGAGCCTGTTGGTGGCACCTGAGTCCACATTTAACCTGCTCACCGAATGGCTGCACGTAGATTGCTAGAGCAGAGAAAACCGCTACTTGTGGGGCTCTCCACGTGAGAGCCAATGGTCACGGTGCAGTTGCACATCACTGCTTTTCTGGGTTTGCCCTCCCTTCTGGTGAGTGTGGCATTAGTTCCTGTTAGTAAAAGTGCAATGGGAAAATCATGGGGAGAGGTGGATGTAGAAAGTCATGCATGGATGGGTCAGTTCAAAGGAGGGAGAAGCAGTTAGTGAAAAGGATGTGCAAGGACAGCAGAACTGCAGAACAGCCAAGACAGGCCCACCCGCCCATGGAGTGCTAAGGTTTGGCTGGTGCCTCTTGTATGTCCGGTCTCTCGAGCGCTGCACTGAATGTTTTTCCAGGTGACGGGTAAGTTCCGTGGGGGTGTGAACCCTTTCACTCGAGGATGCTGTGGAAATGTGGAACATGTGCTCTGCAGTCCTCTGGCTCCCAGGTAAGGAGGAAGAGTCTAAGGTAGGGTTTGGGTTGGGGGGGATCAGAGGCAAAAAATATTGCGTGTAAATCAGACCTGAGTTCCAAAGGGATTAAATGTACATTCTGAGCTATCCAGAGTCTGCATCCCTCATTCCTGAAAGCTGCTCAAGAGACATGGAGGCCACATGATGATGCATTGGCAGAGCTCTAGGGAAGCTTGCAGAGCCCCGCCTGTACTTGGACAGCTCTAGCCAATCTGGCCAGTTTCTTCCTTAATGTAATTCATGTTTTTCATCCCCTAGACACACGTTTGTAGCAAACAGGCTAAATGATACTAGCAGCTTCTTGGTTTTTTAAATTTTTTCAGCCATTCCATCCTTGTTCAGAAGGATCCTCATGGGTTGATAACCGGTGCCGCCCTTCTATAATGTTGATTCTTCATGTTCATTCTTCAAGTTGTTTTATCCAGTGAAATTCAGTAACTGAGTAATCCGTGTTGGCCATAATCTTCCTAACACAGCTCGCTCTCTATGTTGCTCACTCTCCCTCACAAATAACCATCTTGAAATACCTGAAGGGCGGTTATAAAGAGGATGGGATAGATTATTCTCTGTGGCTGCTGAGACGAGCCAAAAGCAACAATCTTAAATTGCAGCAAGGAAAATTTTAAGCCCTTTCTGAGGATTAGGGTGGTTAAGTATTGGAACAGACTGAGTTCAAAAATGGTGATCCCAGAACAGGTTGCCCAGAAGGTGCAGAATCTCCATCCTTGGAAGTTTTTAGACAGATACTTGACTGGGATGGCTTAGTCAGAGATGATCCTGCCTCGAGCAGGAAGCTGAACTAGATGACTTCCTGAGGTCCCTTCCAGCCACGCTTTTCTATAAAGGTGCTGAGTTGTCCAGCACACACATCCTTTTAATGATACTATGAGTGGGATGTATGTGGGCTGTTCAAGATGCTGAGCTATCCCGACCTACACATGCTTTTGTTTGCAGCCATGTGTCTTTTGCTGATTAGACAGCAAGCAGATCTTAGGAGGGTGTTTCAAAGGTGTTAACTGAGAGGACTGCAGCCTCAATTTCCTGCACTTGCCAGGATTTGAATTGGCAGAGTGTTAAAATCTGATTGGAGTCTATGCTGGACTCTTAATTTTCTTTTGTAGTCTTCTTGTCCAGATAGAGTACCAAGGAGTGTCATCTTTTTTTTAACAGCCACTGCCATACTCAGATGGCCTTTCAGTATTTACAGAAGTTAGAATTTACACTCTGAGGGTTTTACCAAGACCCACGAAACTGTCAAATGTATTCTTCCTGAAAAACTTACGGGAGTCGCTCCAGAAACCACCACTGCTGAAATGTCCTGCCCGCTAGCCAAATCAGAGGACATTTCCATGGGTATTTTGCTTTCATGCCCCTTGGATCATATGCTGGTGGTGTCTCCATTAAATGTATTTATTGCTTTGTTTTCCTCCATTTATGTGTAAGCTTTGTCTCCCCTACATATGTTATCCTTGTAAGTGCAGCTTTGCAAAAGTCTCTTAATTTTGCTCAACTGGGGATCAGTGCTTTTTTGACAAATATGAAAAATATCATTGGCTTTTCATTAGCCATAATAATGGCAAGGGGGTTGGTAAGTAGTTCTTGCTTGATCTGGTGATTTTTTGTAAGCATTTTGTAAATGGGGTTTCTGAGAGATTGGGCACATCTAACAATCTAGAGAACACACTTCCTTTCTCTGCTCATCTGGGAATGTGGAAGTCTCCTGTAGGGCTATTTGACAAGGCACATCAATGCAGTTTTTGAGACGAAACTATCTAACTGAACAACTTGTGTTATTTTTGGTGTATAGGAACTCCCAGGTGTAGTGGTTGAAATAGCAGATGGGATGCCCTCAGCTACATGAAGCGTAATACACAGCTGATGAACTTTTTCTTTCCTTTTCTTTGTTGTCAGATAATAAGGACCTTTAACCTGGGAAACACTAAATATAGTGACTCACTTCACCATGGAAAATACAGAAAATACAGTTGCTCCCTCCCCCAGCAGTGAAAAAAACCCCATCACTTCTTACCTAATTCCCAGAAATTCTCCTTTAACAATAAGTCCTAGTGTTGCTGAGGAAAGTAGGAAGTAAGGGGAAGTCCAGCAGGTCAACGTCATTCCTGAAATGTGTGCTCTGATGTTAGCCTCCCTAGAAAGGATCTAACTTTCCCACTCCTGCTGCTGCCTCCCCAGAGGTTTGTATGTCTTCTAACTGCGGAGACACCAGCTCCAGTTTGGCTTGCACGTATCTTCTTGTGTCACCTGTAGTTCTACAAAAACCCATGCTTTATCGAGAGGTGGCAGTCTGCTGTCTTCTTCCTGCTCCTCACCCAAATTACATTTGACTATTGAAGATCGGTGCAAAACTTCTGGGCTTCTTTATTACTACCTCTCCCATTTATCTCCTGAGAGCCACTCCAACCATTGTATTGCTGCTTTAAAATAACCTGAGCAGGCATCCACTGAGAGAAATATTTTACTTGCACAGACTTTATCAAATCTCTTAAATTGTACTGCACGTATGAGATTTTCTTGTCTGCATGCTATGCTTTTTTTAAAAAGTGATTGACATTGAATTGATTGATCAGGTATGTTGCTGAGCCAAAGAAAAAGCAGGCTGTGAGTGTGAAGCCTCCTTTCCTCAGACCAGATCTATGTGAGCGACAGATCACAGTGAAGATAAGTGATAATGGGATCCAAGCCAACCTTAACCGCAGCAAGGTAAAACAGCCCTCAGTACCCTCTGTTTAGCAGTAGGACTTGAAACTCTTTCCTGCAGCTGAAAACAACTCTGGTCTTTGGAAACACAGAGAAAATACACCTCTGGAAGAACATGAAGACAGGTCCTCTCCCAAGACACTGAATTTTGAAATTAAACCAGGAACAATAATATCAAGTGGCTGTTGACACTGAAAATTAACTTTTGTAATTGTCTAATAGGAGAGCAGTCATGTTTTTAGAAGGAGATGTTTTTCCTTTGTGATAAGTTGGTTGAATTCTGGCGGGGGTCCTTTTAACTTCTTGGGCCTCAGATTATTATTATCTAATTTGCACTGTGCTGATGTCAGAAACCCTTGCACCAGACTTACTAAAGACAGGCCTTAAGGTTCAAACATGCAGTCAGTAGTCAGCATAGTGAACTGGGAACCACCATCCTTTCATATCTGTGCCATTGACAGTGACAGAGCAACATGTGATTCTACATGCCTCAGTCTCATCTGGTGTATAACGAAGATGTCTTCACTTTTGTTAGATATTGCAGGATTTATGGTGCTAAATGTTATAGCCATTAGCAGTTATCTTTCAACCTTATTCTAGCAAACTCCTGGTTTAGCCTTCTTGTTTTTAAATGAATATTAGCTGCTGAGTTAACATGTGGTATAACATGCCCTTGCATTAGCAAGCCGTCACTCTTTAATGCCATTAACATTGCTCTTTCATGCCATGGTTATTTTCAGTCTAAAATTAGCCTGGAGGGTCTGGAGGATAAAACCATGGATGTGCAGCCACCTCTGCCACCCAAAGGAGATCCAAGCAAGTACTCAGAATTAAAAGGGCAACTGGGGACCAGTGAAGGTACAGTGACCTGTTCAAAACTTTATTTTTGATGGAATGAAAGTATTTTGGTCTACCAAATAGATGTTCACTATTCTTCCACAAGTGTCATGGGCTCTCTTCCTTGAATTCTTGAGGTAGCTCTTGAATCTTAGTTTATGCTTCTGCCCCATCCTAGAGAAGGAGATTCAAAGGGCAGGGACAAGGCACCAGCTCAGCCTGCCTGCATGGGTTGTGCACTAGTCAGAGTCTTAGGTATGGGTCCTGCTGTCTCCCATACTCGGATGGCAGCCCTTCCTATTGGTTTAGCACTGGTTGTTTCATGGAAGAGGCAAGAGGAGCCAGAAATGTGGGCACGGGTGGTTTGGAAGTGCCTCCAAGTGAGGCCATGCAGCTTGGGCAGTGAGACATCTAAATTTAAAAGTGTTTCAATTAAATGTTTCAGCATTTTCAAAATTTCTCTTGCACCTTTTTCAGCTGAAGCTTTTTGCAGGATTCAGCCTAATTTGCAAACCATGTTGGTCTGTGAAAGGCCATTTTCAGTGAACTTACTATATCAATTGAAGAAAATGTTCCCTAGGTACAGTTATGATATCTTGTGTTTCCCTTGTGTTATTTACACTGTAAGCTCTTTGGACCAGGGAATAGATGGATCCAATCCTGCAAAGAGATACAGAGAAATGCACAGTTACTGCCACGTGGAACTCCACATAGGGGCTCATACATGCAAGGTTTTTATCTCTTTGCAGGACTGGGCCAAATCTGAAAAGTGCCATGTATGTTTATGGAGTAACGTACCAATAATAGTGAATGCCTCAATCTCATCACACTGTTAATATACACTCTGTTGGCATTTGTTTTTCCAGAGGGTGGTCTTTCACCCAAAATGATCAGCCCCCCCACTCCTGCTATGTATAAGTATCGACCAGCATTCAGCAACAATCCCAAAGTCCACTACCACGCTGCGGCTGAGCAGGTGAGCATGCCACACAAGCCCAGACAAATCTGTTCCCAACTTGCACAAGGCAATTTCAACATGATGATAAATTTACCTCAAGACTGTTGTGCATGTTACAATCTAGAAGTAAATAGTGGTATTTAGCAGTTGGACAGGATGGCACTTCCCAGGCTGAATATACAGTGCAGCTGGCGTGAAATCATATCTGCTTTTTCCATATTCCTGTAACTGTCAGGATTGATAAAAGACACCCTATTGACAAATGTGTCCTGTTGCTTTACTAAATTTGAGGCCCGATCCTGAGAAACTGAGAACTGTTCATTCCCGTTGACTTCGGCTAACATGGATCCCAAACCTGTTTGCTTCAGTGGAAGCTATATGTACTTAGCACTTCTCAAGACCAGACCCTTTAGGCTGATGAATAACAAGCTCCAGTGATTTCTTAACATATAAGCTTACTGAGCAGGAAGAACTTAGATTTCCAAGAGGGATTGTCTCACAGTTGAAATAAATATGAGTGTGTAAATTCAAACTGCCCTAACCTTTATTCCAAGCATTTTGGTTATGATGGTTCAATGTCTACTTGGCAGCTGATGCCCCAGGGATCAGTGCTGGGGCCAGTTTTGTTCAGTGTATCAGTGATCTGGAAGATGGGATGGAGTGCACCCTCAGCAAGTTTGCAGATGACACCAAGCTGGGGAGAGCAGTAGATAGACTGGAGGGTAGAGCTAGGATTCAGAGAGACCTTCACAGATTGGAGGATTGGACCAAAAGGAATTTCATGAGGTTCAAGGACAAGTACACATAGGATGGAACAAACCTATGCACTGGTTCAGGCTGGGGATGGCTCTGCAGAAAAGGACCTGGGGGTTACAGTGGACAATAAGCTGAATATGAGCCAACAGTGTGCCCTGTTATGAAGAAGGCTAACAGGGTGCTAGGCTGCATTAGAAGAAGCATTGCCAGCAGATTGAGAGAAGTGATTATTCCCCTCTGTTTGGTACTGGTGAGGCCACATCTGGAGTACATTGTCTAGTTTTGGACCCCCCACTACAGAAAAAGATGTAGACAAATTGGAAAGAGGCCAGCAGAGGGCAACACAAATGGTGAGAGGGCTGGGGGACACGACTTGTGAGTAGGTCATAAGAGAATTGGTTTTTGCCTCCTGGCCGATCAGCAGCAAGTGGGCGGGGGGCGGGGGCAGTGAAATGAGCAAGATCAACACTGTGCAGTGCACTTCCACTGCGATTTCGGTAGGTCCCTGCTTATGACGAGAGGCTGAGGGAACTGGGCTTATTTAGTCTGGAGAAAAGAAGATTGAGGGGGGATTTCCCGTAAAACAAATAGCCCAGTGCTGTTTTCCTACAGTTAATTTCAGCAACTCCTCCAAGATCATCCTGCAATATCAAACCAGGGGCCAGCAGTAATTAAAAAAATAAAATAAAAGGAAAATATAGTATGAGAGAGATGAAACAAAAGGCAGATTAAAGCATATTTTAAACATCAGTGTTGGAGATTGAGGGAAGAGGCATATGTTAAATGATGGAGAAAAATTTAATAGTGTCCTTTTAACGCTGAAAATGCAAGTGGTGCCTGCTCACTCAGCAGCAGGATTTCCATCTCAGTGATTCTTTAGCACTGTTAAGAACTGAAGGTTTTGGTTCTGCTGCAGTAATTACTGATAAATCTTGCTTTCTGGATCTGTCCACTGAATGATGAAGAGATTGCCTTGTGAAAGGGAGCTTTTCAGTACGTGAATACTGCACAGGGCTGGCTATACCCAGAAATCTCATCATCTTCACTTTATTACCTGACATATGACTTGCCAGCCATTTCAAAACACCATATTTACAGGTGTCAGCAAGCACTTCACCTGCAGTGTTGAGCTGTGCAAGCAGCACAGGCAGTAATCCAGGTCTTGGTGCAGCATGTAACATAACCTCCGAAGGTGAGCTTATATTCATTCAGGATGTGTAGCATGACACACTTCAATCACACCAAAGGCCTTATAGGTTCCAGGGATTGGTAATGAAGTCCAGAGACTCTAACCCCTATGTTTCTGGTACTGATGCACCCTAGCATGACAATTTATTTTAGGCTGAATGCTCTCCGTTAAACGAGGTGCATGATCTGGTAAAAAAACAAATGTGTACATCATAAAAACTGGTACACAATGGGCACCCACTGGCAGGCTCAGAGGCCTGCAGATGGCTATCAAGCCATACCCACCTAGTTGGGAGGGACAGCTGTCTCCCTTCAGACATAAAGTGCAGAGGTGCTGCTTCTGCCTGTGCGATCCCCATTTTTCAGCCCGTCCATCTAGCACCATTCCCAATCAGTGAAAACAACCAGAAAGAAAACAGCAGAACATGTTGCAGGGAAGAGGCATATGCCAAGGCACTGCATCAATTTGTCCTCACTGAGTCCATCATTCCTTTTTTCCTGAAACAATCAACTCTTGTTTCCACACAGTCAAAGGTAGTGAGGTCTTGTACACATTTTTCTATTTTCCGGTTCAAAGATACAACTTTGAGGTAAAAATTAACATAAAACAAACTTAGTTATTTATGCTTTTTCATATTTTCCCATTCCTTAAAAAAATGAAAAAAGGCAAATGCTATTCCAATTACACAGTCATGGGATCATGTTTTAAGTTACAGTGAAACCTGTCTCATGGGACAAGCAAAAATCAGTTTCTTAGGAGGGAATAGCTTTTAACTAAAGACTGAGCAGAATTATAATTCGTCTTTCATATACTTTACAGTGATCATGTACAGTTAAGGGGTTTTCTTCCTGATTTCGGTGCATATACAAAAAAGTGTATGGTTCACATTTCTTGAGTAGAATTTTATCCTACTCAAAACATGTAGTGAATAAAGAAAGACTTCTCAACTGCTGCATCAAAACCATAACCTTCAGATCTTCCAAAGTTACTTTTGACTTAAGCAGCTTTTGTATTTGGGTGCTCAAAATCCAAGCTTTGAGTTGCATGTCAGAACTACTGAGCGGTTGTACCTCCAGGTGAAGCTGACATGAATCTAACTAGGTTCAGCACCACTGAAAGCAACCCTGAAGTGGGTTGGCTAAGCACCCACAGATGGAGGGTCCAAAAATCAGAAGCTTGTCTTGGAAAACGTTATCTCTGAGCTGCAGCGACAATGTTTTCCAAGGTTATTATTGTCAGGTCAGAATCTGGCCTACCTTGACAGGGGTTCAATTTGGAGGGTCCTGTCATCTCTGTTTTCAAAGGTCGTTCAGTGCTTATGTCTCAGCGTATTTACTTTAATCAATATTACTCAACCAACACTTAACCAACGAGATTAATCCTCCTCATCTCTGAGATAATTCCCATGCTGAAGGTGAGGGCTCTGAGGCACAGAGGTTAAGGGCCTCTTTCAAGCCCTTACAATGTTTCTGCATCATACCTGGACCGAGAGAACCTGACTTCCAGCTCTGTTCCTGCTGCACTCTTATGCTACACAAACCACCTTTCCCTTCCCTTTCTCACTTTTACCTCTCTCTTTTAGATCACCATGCAGGAGGGGCATAGTCAAGGTGTTATGATAGAAGAGGATGGCAGGAGCCTTGATTACCAATCAGAGCCCAACCTGGACATCCCTAACTACAGGAAGAGCTCCCTGCACAAGACTTATCAGTCCTCACCAATTCAGATAGACTCCTTTGCCATCAATTCACGATCCCTGAGCCTGAAGTCTGCCAGCAGAAGAGGAACAGATAAAGTGCCCCTTCACCCAATAAAGTCAGAAGGGGCTGCTTCTACTCCGTACAAAAGCATATTTTCCCCCAATTCCCTGTCCAACAGAAATGGAAGCCTTTCTTATGACAGCTTGCTAAATCCTATGTCGCCCTCGGGAAGGAAATGCGTCACCCATTCTGCAGTTGGCTCCGTTGGGTACCATTCACCATATCTGTCAGCCAAAATGTGCCATCTCCGGGGGAGTGAGCTACAGCGCCAGCCACCACAGAGCTTCAGCCCGGTGCTTGGGAGCCCAGCTTCACATCAGCGGGACTCCTCTCCAGTACGCTATGACAACCTCTCAAAAACCATCATGGCCTCCATCCAGGAGAGGAAAGAAATGGAAGAAAGGGAGAAGCTCCTCCACTCGCACCCAGATTCAGTGTTTGCAGACTCAGGTGTCTATGACACCCCTAGCTCTTATAGCCTTCAGCAAGTCAGCATGCTGTCTGAAGACCCTCGCAGCACGGCAATGAGATATGGATCTAGAGACAATCTGATATCTGCTACCAGTTTTAGCACAAGGAACCCTTTACTGCAGTCCTCGGTGTCTTCACTTTCGAGTGCATTGACAAGGGCACCAAGGACTTCCACAACTTCCCTTCAAGCTGATTTAGCTAATAACAATGTCCAGTCTCATCAGGCCCTACAGGGCAGGGTGAGCAATGGCTCCTACAAGTCACCAGGCCACCAGGTCCCATCATCTCCTACGGGGATGCCTAGATCGCCCTCTTATGGAGGTCCGAAGGCCGTCTCATTTGTTAACACTGTGGAAATTACAGAGGTGCAGTCAGTAGGAGCACAAAGGTATGGATTGCTTTAATGGCTTCTAAGCACCAGGATCCTGCCTGCAGTTGAGTATAAGAGTAGTTATAAACTGGCAGGACCCAGTCTGCTTGTTTGCTTGTGAATAACAAGGATATGATTTATGTGTGAGTGGCTCTTAAGTCCTGAGTCTTATAACAACCTAATTATCATCAAACATGTGTTCATTTGTTGCTTCCCGGGCTATAAGTTGGACCAAGGAGTTTTAACAGGATGAAATGCTTTGGTATGGGTTTGCCTCTTTTTTGCAACATGTTTCAGTTATGGTAAGCCATTCCCTTTACAGTTTTATATGCATGATTTTGGCTTGGTAAAGATGTGGATTTCCCCCTTCAGTGGTAGAGAAGTTCAGTTTTACCATGTGAAAGGTGTTAAGGGTGAGTCTCTACACAGTCACAGCTCTGAAAAAAAGCCCCAATCAACCACTCCCAGATCATGCATTTTAACCCCAGAAATGAGGCACTGAGTGTGCTTTGGGGCACACAAAGTCTCTGCTCTTGAACGTGCTGGAAACCCTCCAAGCACATCGCTGCATCATTTCTGGGAAGCAGGTGGATGGGGCTTATTTCCTCAGGACAAAACTGAGCTCTCTTTCCCCAGAGTATACATACACCTTAAATCAGTGGTGCTCAACCTTTTTCCTTGGTGGCCCAGATGAGCAGTGCCCAGGAGGCCCACAGGCCAGATATGGCTGATGGCCCTGATCCAGCGGTGGGGCCTGGGGGCAGACTGACTCGATCCAACCTCACAGGGGGAAGGGTGTGTGGCGCAGCCCCATCCAGCCATATGGAATAAGGTGGTGTGGCCTGGCCCTGATTCAGCTGGGTGAAGGAAAGGGGGCATGGCCCAGCCCCAGGCCAGCCGTGTGGGTGGACGGGGCATGGCCCAACCCCATCCTGACTGCATAGGGAGAAGGGGTTGTGGCCCGGCTTTAATCTGACTATGGGAATCTGGCAGTGGCGGAGGGTAGCCTCTGCTCCCCTACTGCCAAAGTTCCCAACCTGTAGGGAGCCCCAGGGGCCAAATGCAGTGGCTCTGCAGGTCATGTTTGGCCCTGCCTTAAATCAATCAACCAAAGTTGTGACGTTCTGGTGGAGTCAGGCTCTAGCTAGTGCTTAATAGAATGAATGAATCATGTACAGGTTTGGGGACTCGTTCTGCCAGTGTCACCCATGTTGGTGAGACTGGCAGAATGCGTCCCCACTAGCATCACTCTCTAACCTCGGGCTAGGGCTAGCCTCAGGTGTTACTTGGTATGAGTAAGGCTTGTGGAGTGATTGTGCTGGATGCAGGGTAATGTAGAGTGACCGAGAGTGGTGGCCGCTTGGAACCTGCCAGTGGCTAGCTGAGGTCTTTCTCTCATAGGGAAGGAGAAGAGTGCAGTGTGAAAACGTACTTGTATTATGACACATGATAGGTTACAAATGTGTTATCTTACTACGTCCCATAAATTACTTGTGGTAACAGTAAATGAAGAAAAGTGTCTCATTCCCAAAACCGTTCTTTTTTTATTTCAGAAAATGATTTACTTTCATTCCATTCCTCTCCCCAAGTGCATTGCTTGCAAAAGCGCGCATGAGTTGGTTAGGCTGTAATATTACATTTCTGTGTAGTCACTGCGATTATCAGTCAAATCAGGTCGGCCAGTTAGCTAAAACAATTTGCAAAAGCTGATTTGCATGGGCAGCGATTTTTAGATTGTTCTATGTTGCTGCCGTGAGGTACTGCTTAAAATGTTCATTTTCTTACCCTCCTCCACTTTAGGTTAGACATGGAACCATTTCTATTGACTCTTCCTTTCTAGGACTAATAACCATTTGCAACAAATAATTCAATATGTGGATTTAAATTCTTGTGGATTTTAGCATACTACTGAATAGATTGTAGCTTCTTCAGTTGTAGCTATTTGAAAGGGTTTAATACTTTAGGGGCAGGGTGGCAGAGCAATTAAGGCATCTTGCTGCAGATCCAGAGGTGTGAATTTGAGCCTTGTTTCAGAATTGGTTTGAAAGCCCCACATCTAACTGGGGACCTGGACGTGGAGGCTAAGGGATTAAAGGTGCCCAGATACAGTGTGCCATTAACTGCAGAAAACACAAGTGCTTAGCTTTTGCTTTTTTTTAATTTAAACTTTTTGTAGTGTTCTTATTAACTAGGGCTTATCTGTGAAGGATTGAGTATTTGATAAACCTGTGTTGATGTGATGGGTTAGATGAGTCAAATTTTTTTCTGTTCCCTAATTGATTTAACTGTTCAAGCATTTGCACATGAGAACTTAAAAACTGGCTTCCTTGAATATTTGCTGTCACCACTTGGAAATCAGCTTGCTGCAAACATCCATTCCACTAAATCTGTTATGCAAAAAATTCTCAGAAAGGGGAAATACAAGGCAAGGAGTAGGACATGAAGTGGGATTTAAAAAATGCGAAGTAGATGTAGTTTAAATATATAAAACTCACCATTAAGCCCTCCACAGTCATCACCTCTTGATGAGTTTCAGCAGGAAGACCAGGAACTGAATGGACATGCAGACTGAATTAATTCCATTATGGAGGTGGTTCCCAGTAGGACAGGATAGAGACCGATCGATGGGCAGCACTGGGGAAGCTAGCACCAGTACTCCTCTTGTCAGACCCAACCTATGGATGAACAAAGGGCCTCGCTTTGGAGTTGGTAGAAGATCCTTTCTCACTGGTTTCTGAACCATGTAGTTCTCTCTCTTCTTTGGGGAAAATATGTGCCTTGATATTGAAGGCCTGAAAATATGTTACACAGCCTAGACTGCAGCTGCTTCAGCTGTGTAAACCTTGGAGAGATCTTATTCTGTTCAACGGGGAGCTGAGGTTTTCTCAGCACCCAGCACTTTGTCCACTTTATCATCCTTTCCAGTTAGTCCCCAGGTATCACGGTTCAGTTTTAATTCATGAATTAGGAAAGCTATTGAAACACTGAAGACTTTATTGGGCCTGCACAAAAATAGTGTACATTTTACCAAAGTTTGAACTGCAGCTGGTAACATAATTTGCTGTTCTGCCAGCAGACAAACTTTCAGTGAGACACCTGTGAAAGTCTTCCTTTCTTCTCATATATTAAACTAAGGGGTTTATTTCCTTCAAAAGAACTATGTGTTTTCCCTCCCATGACTGTCCTCAGTCTGATCCCCGGAGATGTCGGCTCCTGTTATTGTTGTTAGTAAGGAGAGAGATGCCAACGTGATAAGCATTTTGCGTGTTCTGGGTGTCTGCCTTTTGGTAACACTGTCATCTTGTTGATCATACCACTTCCAGCTTGGCAGGGGTTAGGATGGTGTCTGTAAATCTGTTCCAGCTCAGATATCTGAAATTTTCAAGCAAGTGAAAGTCTACTTAAATGGTATTATTACTTTCCCCTAAAAGGCCTGGATGTCCATTTGAAATTAGACAGATCTGACAGAATGCAGTACCTCTGAAAATGAGCCACTTCCTTAGGTAGCCTCATAGTGCCTAAAACCATTCATCTAAACCAGCAAGTTTCAAACTTCTGCCTTGCAAAGGGAAACGCTCTGTTTACAGAGGAGGTCTGTGCTAGTAAGTCCTTTTCCACCTGACATGACCCGGAGAGCAACACTGGAGACAGAACTGACATCCCCTTCTCCCAATGTCCTTCTCTCATTTAATAAAAGGTCTCCAGACTCCGGGCACTACATGCTGAGAAAAAAACTAGACTGTTTAGGCCAACTCTGCTGGTGATTTCAGCTGTTTGCAATCCACTGGATTTGAGTGAGAGGGAACATGGTGTAAGTCAAAGCAGAATTTGGTGCTGGGGTTGTATGCACTGAAGCTGGGAATGTAGATGGCTTCAGAATTTAGGGAGCAATGGGTGTAGGGGCTAACAAGCAACTGTAAGGACCGTATATTGCTGGAAACTTTGCTTATTTTACCCCTTAGCATGTAGATGACCTAGAGAGACCCCACATCATGAAAAGACATTCTCTGGCTGGAATGACAGCTCTGGGCAGGGCCTCTCCGTGATTCTCACTATTACAATATGTCCCCCTTGTGCTAGACACTGAGCAAATGGTAGGCACTGCACTCTGTTGTGCTCTGCCACTGAGAAGTCCGCCAGAATATCAGTTTAAGTCCGTCCACTTTAGAGCAAGCCGAGGGCAGGGCCAGAATTATGGAGGTGCAAAAATGGCTTCCAGTTGTGCACTGGAAAGGAAGATTGGAATAGCTGACTCGGTCTGTCTTACCTGGCTTCCCTCTAATGCACCATTGTTTCACAGGCAGAGACCAGCAAAAAGAGGCCAGTGGAGGAAAAGGGGACAGCTGTAAAATCCTGAGCTAAAGTCCATCAAGGAAATGTGGGTCAGAGAAACAAAGCTCTCATGGAAATAATAAACTTATTCAGTATGTGCAGCTGAACACTTGTTCCCTTTATTTCCCTTTAACTGTTTCATTTCCTCTGGTCCTATGTTCCACTGCTGACCTCTACTGAACAGAAGTCTTTTTCATTCACTTTTTACTGAAAGAGCAGGGAAGTTGGGCTTTAAGTCATCTCAGAAACTTGTTTCTGAAGCCAGTTTTCTTGTTCCCAATTCTCAAACCATGATCAGACTCTGGACTTAATCTCTGTTTACCCCAGAGAATTTGACTGTTCATCCCAAAAACTCTGTTTCACTTGTCTGTGTTCATGGCCCAGCCCACAACACAGCACTGTGGCCAGTGAATATCATCCTCAAATACTTGACTGCTCTACAGTTAATCGTGGTGCAGACTCTCAGAAACTCAAATGATATAGGCTGCAGAAATAGAAAGACAACCCTTGCTACAGCCAGCTCATGACTGCGTTCCTTCAGGAGCTTCTGAAAAAAGGTGAGAACCAAGAGCTGTACTTTGTGAAAATAAATAAAAAATAACGTGAGTATCCAACCACTTTATGGGACTCCTTTCATGATTTCCCAGTGTTCCTAGAGTGCCTTCCCAAACCTCTCACTAGCCGGGGCTGTGGGGACCTGAGGGTGCCCCTACATGTGCAATTAATGCAAAGCAATAAACCCTGGAGCAGTTTGAGCTGGAGTAAACTACTCCCTGGTGCAGCGTCAATCCATATGCCCAGGATGGCAGCAATTTGAGCTGGAACAGGGCAGGCCCAGGCTGGCAGGGGACACGGGGTCAGCCCCAGGCTGCAGATGGTAGTGTCAGGTGGCAGGGCTGGTGCACAAGGGTACAGAAAGTGCAAAGTTGTGTGGCTAGCTGGCAGGCAGGAGTCTGGGCCCTGGCTGGCTGGGATGCCCACAGTCAGCATCTATACGTGCGTTTAATCACCATAAAGTACCCCAATGTAACATAGTACTGTCTCTATCTTACTGCAGCATTAATTAGTTTACTGCAGCCTAGTACTATGGCATATGTAGACGGTGATGCTTTACTCTGCATCTAATTAATCTGCTTCATAGTAAAGTGCATGTGCAGATGCAGCCTGAGAGACGGGGACTGGGGGGTAATGAGACTGCAGGTGGGCAGTTCAGTACTAGTGTCAATGAAGGGCAAGACTCAACAGCATGGACGCTTACCCCCTTGCTATCCTGCTGGTTCTGTTACCCATGGCTTAGTTCTCTGGAGCAGGAACAGCCTAAATGTGTAGTAGAAGTTCAGCTGGCATGAGATACTAGAACTGCTTCTTTAGCTGCAGGACAGAGCAGTCATATTGGTTGCTAAATAAAACTCTGCTCCTAAATCCCAGTGACACTTTGGGCAAGTAGAGAGATGAGTAATACCTTTGGGGGACAGTCTGTTTTGGGAACATATTGTAGCAAGGTAAAGCAAAAACTCACCAGCTGAGTGCAATAAATCCTATCTATAACATCAGTTTCTTTGAAAAGGAGCCATGTTCTAAACTAATGCAAACTGCCCTGGCTTGCAGATCATCTGCCAGTATGCCTATTAAAACCTTTCCTGACACAAAGTTACTGCCGCTATAAGTGCATGCCAGTGATTTCACATTGAGGTAACAGAATCATAGAAAATTAGGGTTGGAAAGGACTTCAGGAAGTCGCATGTAGTCCAACCCCCTGCTCAAAGCAGGACCATCCCCAACTAGAGCATTCCAGCCAGGGCTTTGTCTAGCCAGGCCTTAAAATCTTAATACTATGCTGTAACCTAGTCCAGAATGGTTGTGCTCCATCCATCTTGGCAGGAAGTTGCATGAAAGGAAATGGTTTTAAAGATTTCAAATTTTAAAAATACCTTCAGATTATGGCTCATGTTTGCAAAGGAGATAGGACCTTAAGAGTCCAAGAAGGCTCTTGTGCTTGCTGAAGTCCAAGGGGAAACTCCCATTAGAATCAACAGGCTTTAATCATATTGCAAATGAACACATGCAAGCCAAACAAGAAATCTCTTTCTCCATTTTGGTTTACAGGGAGGATTGTAAGTATAAACAGTATCACCATGGACAGCCTCACCCACAGGCCATCAATGGAGTCTAGTTAGTACCAGTTGCATCTCTTTTCTGTACAAGTCAAAGCGGCTGGCTGACAGTTGGCTCTCTTCTCCTAGACTAGCCACTAGATGGGGGCAGGAAAAACTACCTTAGTATCATGTTTTAATATCGTTGACTCTTTTAACTGACATTCCGCATTGAAATGAGTTGGCTTTCTCCTTAAAATGTAAAGGCACGCTACAGCTGTATCGGAGACTAAGCCTTCCTCTTGCCATAAAGCAATCCAGCTCTGAAAGGTAGTGCCGCAAGATTGATGGGCCAGACATTTGGAGCAATCAAATAAGAGAATCTGCCTTTGGGCAGAAAGTAACCTTGTTTGTTTCAGCAAATTCCCTCCATGCTCCACTACAGTCTCACCTGCAGGCAACTGGTTACGATGGATGAGGGATTTACACTGTCCTTTAAACAGTTTAACTTTTTCAGTGCTGTGATTTCTTTCATAAAGACCATATTTGTCATAATTGTTTTGCATTAGATTCTTCTGTGTAGCTGCTTCTGTGATCTGCATGTCTGTACCACTCATTATTGTAACCTGATTGATTTCACCCAGCTCAGGAGGGACCTCCTCCTGCAAAGGGAATATTAGATGTAGAGCTCTTCCACCACTTCTGGAACAGCTGGAAGAAAGGGCTGGGGCACCTCAGTCTATGCTGACTCTTAGTTATAACTTGCTCCTCCCTGGAGCCCTTGCAGCCCTTGCCTCAAAGTCAGAGCCCCCCTCAGGCTGCTGTAAGACGATAAATGAAGTGCATAGGCAAGCTCTGGCTAACACTGCATCAGGTCAAGGAACTTCAAGTTACGTTTTCTGCCTTGCGCTCCATGTGTTTCTTCAGTCGCTAAAGATCTGACCCTAGAGGCTTATACTTTACCTTTACTATGACATTTAAGACTGAACAACAGCATCCTGTATTTTTAATGAGACGGTTTTGCTACTGCCTTCCCCTGAGAGATTTCTCTGAGTGTTTATTTTTTAATACAGTCAAAACGTAGTTTGGGCAAAGGTCAGCAATGGAGACGAGAGCTTTCAAAAAAGCAATGAAGTCTGGTTCAGCCAAGCACTTCGGCTGGTGCTTAACTTTAGGCATGTGAGTAATTCCACTGGGCCTGATCCACTGATCCAAGGTGAGATGATGCCAGTGGATTTTGCATTGGGCCACTAACCACAATGGAGTCAGCTTAACTGCTCACTACATCGGGACATAAGGTAACAAGGACAATAGCTTGTCCGGAAGAACGGTATCTGACTTTCATTTCTTTGGCCACTAACTCTAGATGTCTTTGTATTTATTTTGATGCAGGGAGGACATACAGATGAAGACGCCTCACAGTAAAATAAATGGACAGCCAAAAGGAATTTCCAGGGCAGATTGTCGACTGGGTTCAACATCTAGTTCCCAAGGGACCCCGGTCAGTCCTGCTAGACACTCAAATGTTAAGAAGGTATCTGGAGTTGGTGGAACAACCTATGAAATTTCAGTGTAAAATAAAATAAAAGAGCCATCCACTAAGCCAGCCATGAAGCTAGGTGCACTGTGAAGACTCAAACAACAACAGCAAAGGAGCAGCAGCTGCCAGTGTCCTTTTCATTTTTGTCCTCATCTTTCTTTTTTTGGCCAAAAACCAGCTGCGGGGAGGGAATAGAGCTGTACAATCCATCAGACACTCTCAAATTGATGGGCGGGAACTGGCTACCACCTAGCACCACAACCAGATTATTTCTTTCATGAAAGAGAGCGAAAAAGCCATTGTGCACTTGTCTGTCACACAAACCGGTTGTGTAGGAGTTGTGCTGTGATATAGTACACTTAATATGGGGTCACTATATTTTCCCCACCCATACCCCCAACTTTTCTGGCCAGCAGAGTCTCTAAAGGCCTGACTGCTTCTTCCTATGGACACGGAAGCCAGGCTTCCCAAGTTTCACAGTCTGCGTGTGTGAGAACTGCCATTTGTCCTCCAAGCATTAATGTCGGCGTTATTACTCCTCCTTCAGTGGAACAGGGCAGGAGTGCAGCAGCCCTCAAACCTCATGTAGTGTTTTCAAGTCTCTCTGCTCTGACTCGGGTTCAGGAGGAGAGAAAGGATAACAACAGCTTCTCACTGTCAGTCATTTGCCTTCCTGTGTGTGAAATCCTGTGTGTGCGTGTTTGTGTCTCGTGGAACAGGACTGCCACATAAGTAAGGATTTTCTATTCTTCTCTGTGGTTCCCTCTGTTTTTAATGGTTCTTGTACTCAGAGGACCAAGTGTATAAGGAAAGCAATGTTTGAATGGAAAACTAAATTTTGAATAGCCAGAGACTGCCTCCCTCCCTCATTTTTGCCTATTGAATTTAGGCAGTAACGTGGTTTATTGTCTTGCACTGGTGCAGTGTGTAAAGCCTTACAGCAAGGTTATCGTGATCTGTTGAATATCCAGTGCGCGTGATGGAGCTAAGCACATGCTTAGAGGTTATAAGTTTGCTGCCTGCCTAATGAGTAGTGTGTTCCCACCAGCCCTTAGTGTTGAACAGAAGTTTTCGGTATCGGTAAAGTCCACTGAGTTATCTGGGGCCTTCTCCTTCTGTCCCCAGAAACCATTGCTTACCTTAATAGGTTTAAAAGCAACATTATTTTAAGAACCAAAACAAATGCTAGTGTACAAGCTCTGGGTAAACGAATTTTGTGACCAAATCCATTTTTAACCACCTTAGAGATTTGTAATACAGAGATCTGGAGCACTGTTAACTGGGAAGATCATATATGCAATTAAGAATATCCTGAATGACTGCAGCTGAAGTCAGATGGAATGATTACTTACCTCTGAGCCAGTCAGATAGCATATGAAATCTCTGTTTCTTGGCTGGTTTTTCCAGTAACAGGTTTCTGCTGGACATCTTCAGAGTTTTAGTAATGCCTCCTTTGCAGTTTATGATTAAAAAGGAAAGATTTCCAGATATCGATATTCAGAATTTGTTTATCCCTAAATACATATACATATAAATATGTATATAGCTACATAGCTAATAGATTGTTTTCATTAACATCAAGATTTATTGTTCCTTGAGAAATTTTGTTGTTGGCTTTGCCTTGCTTAACACTTCTCTCTTGATTTGATAAATCTTGATACCTCCCACAATGTCTGCTTAGTCTGTCCTTGGTCAACCAGCCTCGTGTGGAGAAGATGGAAAGCATCGTGGGATTAATCGTGCTTCTGCATCATTTGAAGAGGGGAATCGGAAAAGCAGTATTGTGATAGTGGACAGACAACCAGATACAGGTTTGCAGTCAATGCGACAGAAAAGGCCTGGTGACTTTTTAATGGCGTACAACAGGGACATCACAGAGCAGAGAAGCAATTACTCTTCTAAACATCTTTGGTACAGTCGTGTCTAGAATATCACCTTTAGTTACAGGCACTTTATTTCCAGAAAGATACTGGCAAATTGGATCATGCTCAAATGGGAACAGCAACTATAAACAGAGAACTGGAGAGGCAGGTTCACAAGAAGATTAAAAGGGCTAGACTGTGTCATTAATTAAGCAATGATTATGGGAAGTGGGTTTGATATGTTTACATATTTTTAACTTAATGGATGTAAAACCAAAGGTGAAACATGGGGTTATCACTGGTAGTAAATGGGTTAAGTTAAAAGGGAAAAAAAATGACTAACAGGGGAAAGGGCTGTGGAATAGTCTTCCAAGGCAGGGTATTGGAAGCGTGACCACTGAGAACTTTTAAAACTGAACTAGTCAAACCAGTTGGAAGTTTCTGATAAGTTGCAATCTTGCACTGGCACGGGGCTGGACTAGATAACCTGGGAGCTTTCTTCCACCTTCAGCTCCTACTAATCTTTGATTCCAATCTGAATGTAACTCCATTCCACATGTGGTGAAAATCAGTCCTGCGCACAGGATTAGTACAAGGCTTACATATCTCTACAGGCATATTTACTCACACTCAAGCCCTCAGTGTAGGAGCTAAATGGCACATACATTGTGTTGCTAATCTGTATTGGGACAAATTACACTCTGTAGGGTTATAAAGCAAGCTATGCAAGCAGACCTTTAATATTGTACCCATTAGCATTGAAAATCTGCGTTCCTGTGACATTTTTAGGATTCCAGTGAAAAACAGAAAAGTCCATGGAAGAGCTGAAGGGCAAAAGGGCCTTTGAAATTGCTATATAAGCTCACGGGCAAGGATTGTCCAATAACACTAAACATAGCACTCTCTGTATAAACCTTTTAAAGCCCTTGCAGCCAGTGTTCTTTTGGTGTATATCTCAGGCAGGAAGATGAAGAAAAAATAAATACATTGCAAATTCTACATAAGGTTTATGAAGAGCAGAATTGAAACTCGTCCAGCATATTCATAGGCTACTGATAGTACCAAAATTCTTCTTTGAGGCTTGCATAAAGACTAAGAGTAGCACAAATGGCCTGGAGGCTAGAGCAAATTATTCCAGTCTTCCTGGAAATAGGAATCTATGCAGAACAGTTACCATGGGATTGCAGGGCACGTGTTCCCATCTAAGGCTCTGGTCCCCCAGGTGAATCCACAGGAGTTCCAGCGCTGGCTTGCATGTGCCAGTGGCAGGATCTAGCCCCCTGTCACCTTTACAAGATTTCCACAGTTAATGTCCTTCTGGCAGCCTCTAGATTATCAAGAAAGTACTGCTTTTACCCACTATTTTTCTATTTTTATTAGCACTAAGGGCCATATCCTCTGCTGACGTAAATTGGTACTGCTTTGTTTACATTGATTAGGCCCACACCAATTTCCTGCAGCTAAGGATCCAGTCCATTCAGTCCTAACAGAAAACTCTGGTGCAGGTTTAACGCTTTGTAAAGTAGCTCTTTTTTTTTTTCTTGCTTAACACATATTTCAGAAGTCTTAAATCTTTTGATTAGGTTTTTATTTTTAGCTATGAGTTGTATATTAAGCCTATTAGTTATTTAAAAAAAAACCCAGTGGTCTTCATTTAGTTTATGCGTCACTTTTCATTGTATATCAGATTATTATTAGCGTCGCTTCACTGTTTATTCACTTTCATGTAATACTCAGTTTCATAGTAGTATAGTCTGTCTTGAAAGAGTCAGATGTCGATACAATTAATTGTACAATATATAGATGAATATGAAATTAAATGTACCTTACTCCATGGGTGGGTGAGAGAGGAGATGTTTTTACTTGAAGCCTTAATATTTTCCTATTTTCTTTCTTTGTGTGTTGACTTAATAGGGAAGCTTGTAATAGCAATGAATTTCAAATGCCAGGCCAAATTCTGCTCTGGCTTATAGGTGGCATTTGGCCCTGTATGTCAAAAACTGGATGCAGAAATAACTTAGGAGTGAGCAAAGTTTTTATATTCTCAGAAGCAAAAATTCTTAGGACTGAGTATTTTCATGCAGATGGCTAACAACATTTCAGAGATGCATCACCCTATGAGAATTTGTATTAAAGAAATCTCTAAGACTTGCATTACCGAGGGAATTGATAACAAGAAGCATACAACTATCACAAGTTTGTATTTTCCTTTTAAATTAAAAAAAAAAATCAAGTTATTTATTTTGGTTGACCTCAGCAGTAAAAGTGGCTCAGACCTCTGCTTCAGGGGCTCAAACCTGATGTGTGGCAAACGTTTTGCTTTATGTTGTTATTTCAAAAACACAAACCAAGGGTTACACAAACTTTGCTGAAGACAATTGTATCTGGGGCAGGGGGAAGAGGGAGGCTCCGTGGATGATGGCTGTACTCCTGAAAAGCTTAAATCATGTGGAAATTGGAATGTGGTTTGTTTTGAACTATATAGCCTTTTGGTGAGGCAAGGGGGGGCATTCACTGTTGTTGTCACATAGACAGTATGGGAAGTTTATGTTGACGTGTTTATATGGTCTGTATTTCACCTGTTCTGCCATCTTGAATTGTTGGAATGTATCTGTGCAGGCTTTGTGGAGCTCTGTCTGTAATAATTGTTGTGGCTCTCGTAATACATATATATTTTTTAAACTCTTGAGTCACTTCAGTATTTTAAGGTGTCCAGTTTTCCTGGTGTGTACGCATCAGACTCTTGTCCCAATATGGTCTGGATTCGTGGTGTTCTACCCTCTTTTCGAGGCCTTGTTAATGTCCTACTGATTACATCCTGGTCCATGGACCAGACCAAGCGGCATGGTGCTTCTTCAGCTGCTGTTGTCTGCAATGAGTACTGCAAATTCTTGGCGCCTTTCATGGTCCGACTTCTACTTACATGCAAAACGTAGAAGTCTGTAAAATATGGTAATCTAGCATGGGACAAAGAAGGTCAATCCAAATGCAAAGCTCCATGTGATAAAACACAAAAGGAATTAATTGTATCTTACGTACCTCCTTCAAGGCTCTTTAAAGAGGGTAGAAAATAAGATTAGTCTTAAGGTAATTGCTGCAGAGCACAGGCATTGCTACTAAAGTGTCCTACCCGTGACATCTAGATCCGTACATCTTCAAGGTATCAAAATGCCAGGCTGTCTAACCAGTTCTACTCATCTCTGTTTCTAGGGTGTGAAAATAGGCCTGTTAGATCTGGGATACTGATTCATAGTTTATACAGTTGCCAAACCCTCAACAGCAGCTGCTGTGGAAGCTCAGAGCCTGGAATATGCATGATGTAGACTAATTACATTGAGAGAGGATTCATTCAAGAATGTTCTTTGTAAATGCCTGTCATGCTTGTATGCTGTAGTGTCTTTAAATGATAAAGACTAGCCTATATATAGAAGATACTAAATGCTCAGCTGATGTAAACAGCACAGCTCCCCCAACTGCCATGGAGTCGGAAAGAGTGACACCAAGCCATGATTTGGCTCGACATTCTGTAAAGACACCCTGGTTTATGAAGATGTTCTGTATGAGACACGGAGAATTACCTGCGTTGGCATTAATTTCTCTCCTTTCTTTTTTAATTCTGCGGGCCAAGTTTCTGTTCACATTCAGGAATGTAATATTTGAACAAGGAGAGACATAGCTAGGAACTATTTATGCAGGTGAAACTAGATTTTAAGGGAAGAGCAATTATATCTTAAATGTATTAGAATTACTGTCAAAATAACTTTTGTTCATCTTATCACAATAACTGGAG